TAAAAGGAGACCAACACCAGGCCATTTGTGTTGACGCGTTTCAGTCACTCTGTAAAGCCAGAAGGGAGTTTGGGAGTCTATATGCTGCACGGCCTACTTGTGATTACCGCTATCGGGCTGACACCAGAGAGCTGACACAAATATTCCTGTTGTCAGCCCATACTTGCACGGCTGGCTGTAAATTACAACACTCATTTCCCAAAATGTCTTTTGTCTGAAAGAGTGCAAAACACCTTTTTTTTGTAATAATGGCTCCATGAGTTTTTTGTATCTTTAATGTTAAGTGTTAGTTTGTACTAAATTAAGTCCTGCACGTTAGTTCTATAAGGAACGTAATGGTTCAGTTTAACTTGCTGTTTACATCGTTTCAGTTTCATGAACTATAGCAGCAGAGACTGTGTGTTCACCACTGGAGGGATGTAGCAGTAACTAACAGCTTTTCACAAACCAAATGCATTGTGGGCTGCAGGGCTTTTAGACATGCTAACGCTGGAGCAGAGAGGTCACGCATGACATGATGTGTGATTTCTGTGGATGGGTTCTACCAGAGCAGCAGAGTGATGGATTATGTGTGCAGACTACAGTCTTTGTGGATCCATGAGCGACTTGAACTCTATGACCCATAACTGTGACTTGTGACCCATAACTGTGACTTGCAGTCTAGTTATGTGCAGACTGTATTGGTCAAGCTGGAACAATCCGAATAAACTGTAAACAGGAAAGTGATCTCACAAGCTTTCTGGATTTAAGTCTCTTTTGGGTCAATTTTGAATGAATTCCACAACTTTTGCAACATGTTTTGTTCACAAATTCAACAATGAAGCGTTTCGAATCCGCTACCGCTTCGATTCTCGCTTTAGGCTGGCTTCGTCTCCATAGCAACAGCAGCCGAGGCTCATAAATGGTGTCGTATTTAGAGTTTTGATTCGATTCAAACTGATAGGACACAAAGCTGCGCTACGTAAAACTGCTGATCACAATATCAACCTGAAGGATTCTTAACCTGTCCGGTAGAGTCCCTCCTTTCTATGTTGAGTTCTACATGCTGTGTTCACAGAAATGTAATGTTTCTCTGGCAATTAAATTTTTTAGTGAAACTGATGCCAAGCACTCCTCTTTACGCAATTTACAATAAGTGTACTTTAGTGTTAAGGAAGCGTCGTAATTGTAAGGCTTTGTCTCACAATGTTCTTCTGCTGTAGCCTGCGGAGGCAAATAGCCAGAGGGACTTAAAGTACTGTGTACGACTTTTGGTAAACAGGACACGATGAATTATTTTACAGCACATTTATTTTGAAAGTGAGACTGAAGATGTGAGGCTAACCCTCAGGATAGCCTCCGACAGCCCACTGAGGTGGCACTCCCAGTACAGTGCTCCCCGGACACTGAACATATGGGAGTTAAATGGTCAGCTGGGATATGTACGCCTATGTGTGTGTGTGTGTGTGTGTGTGTGCTGGGGCTAACAATGCGTAATGCATTTGTCATGCCAACCAGGCCAAGCAGGCATAAAAGCCTTTTCTTCTTAATCGAGGCCCACAGGGTAATGTGGTAATACAGATGGGGCCTGTCATGCTTTTTGTGAAAAGCAAGACGAGGAGGAGGAAGATGAGCAACACGAGGAGGAGGAGGAAGGATTCTTCTGGTCTTTACACTGGATCGTGGTTTCTCCATTAGAAATGGAAAATCGGGTTGATGGACAGATATGTTGATGGAGAGGAAGATGTTGTTAAGTTTCTTCCCGGATTGATTAGATGTACTTTTCAACTTCATTTTTCTCTTTGAGAGATGAAAGAGAGCAAAACAAGAAGTGTAAAAAAATAAATAAACCGTACAAAAGAAGTATTCTCTTTTACGGCAGCGTCTTCATTACCTATGCACCATCCCGCATGACTCTGCCAGGCGTTATTTGGACATGTGTCAGGTTAGTTATTTCCTAGCGTATTGCACCGGGAAATGGATCTAAGTGAAGAAGGAGACATTACTGTAGCTCAGTAGAGCTCACTGTCTAAAACATGCCTTATGCAGATTCAGAGTGTCATCCTCTACCTGGATTATCCACCGTGGTGTAAATTGAGGACGATTTCCCCCAGGTTGCCCCAGTTCCCAAAATGCTGCTGCTAAGCTGTAACAGATCAGCTTTCCAGCCCATGCTGCCACTTCTGTGGTCTTAAAAGTGTCTACATTTCCTCCGCAAATGGGTCCCAAAGGAGGGACACTGTCACCTAGGACGCCTCCAGGTGTTTTTCCGCCAAAGACTTGCAGATGAGTTGGACCGGTCTGCATTGCCCAAAAGTGTGAATATTGCTTATCTCTGTCTGAGACTGCCAGTGTGTCCAGGGGTTTCCCTACCCTCCAGGAACAATGAATGCATCTGTATTTTCTCTAGGATTTCTACATTGTGATAGTGTATTGTCCTGCGTGCCTTCAATGCCAGATTTCCCCCAAATGGACAATAAAGAACTTGGGCTCGATGCCCATGCGGTAATGGTGCCAGAAAGTACTCAAAAGAGGGTTAGAGATGTTAGCCAATGACCACACGGATGCCAAATGATTAAAAGCAGAAATGAACAAATTAACAGAAATACTGAATTTCATGGTAATCCCTTCAATTGTTGTCGAGACATTTCTCTGAAGAGCAAATTTGTCAACCTCATGGAGGCTCCGGAGGAAGAGTCTGGGGATCAGGCCAAGTCATTAGGAATCATTCTCTGTGGAACATGAATGTCTGTACAAAAGTAAGGCCAATCCATATCGTAGACATTTACATATTTCACGGGATAAGTGATGTTGACCTTCTGGTGGCGCTAGATGTCAGGGGACCACAAAGGTTGTTCAGATTCAACCTCTTGGGACCATGAATGTCTGTACCGAATTGTTGTCCCTCATTGTCCAGTTGATGGAGCAGAACACGCTGCTGGAATCGAATCAAAGCCTCCCAGCAGGCCTTCGCTACCCAAAACTGTTTGCATCAGTGGCCCAGCACAGCAGGTCCCCGGAGACAGAACACGCAGCTGCGTGTATCAACATATCAACAGAATTACATGACCAGGAAGACAGTTTAACTATGTAGTAGAATGTGTTCAATATCAGTGAACCATGAAGAACCGTTAAACAAGGGTAACGTGGGTCATGGATTCATTAAGGAGCTTTTTGCCCCCCAACATGTGTCAACTAACATCATTAACTTTGTTTGGTGCTCTTAATTGATAGTGCCGCTGTCTGTAGATAACTCAATTAGGATTCCAATTAAAGTCTGTGTTGTATATTTTTTCCTCTCACCTTCCTGTCAACCTGTTTTTGTGCCGGGAAGATTTACTTGAGGATATTTGTTCTCTCTCAGCGGACACCCTGCTTCGTATTCACACCTGGAAGCTGCTCTGTGGACTCCTCTTGTTGGATAGCTTTACTGATGGAGGTCAGGGGTTAAGCTCGCTGCTCGCAGACACCTTTTCTGCAGGGACGGAGTATAAACATGCAAAGTTTAACATTGTTTTGGAGTTAGAAGCTGTGCTGATATCTTAGAAGGCAGCAACAACTCTTGAAATTGTAATAATTGAATTGTAAAAAAAAGAGTTAAAGGAAGATTTTCCCACTCTTTAAAAATGCACAAAAAGTGCTGCGAGTGGATTTGTAAAATATCTCATGTGTGCATAAAGCACAGCACCCTCGAGTAAAGTTATTTCTGTCTTTTAAAAAAAAAAGATTTCAACAAGACTTCCCACAGAGATCTTTTTTTTTGACAACGCAGCACTCCATAGTGGATCGTCTAACCTTCTGCTCGCAAAGTGACAGTAAAAGGCGACTTCGCCCTCCTCGCTTCACCCACTCTGCCTGCCAGGACGCAGATTCCTGGCACGTCCGATCCGAAGGTCACGATCCTGCAATAATAATACAAAACTCTCTCAGGGGGGTCGACGCACAAGAGCTCTCACACATGCTTGACCTCATTCTATAGGCCGTGACTTTAACAGGCCAAACCACTTACAGCATTGTCTAAAAGAGGCTCTGCAGTTGTTGTGTTCAATAGCACTCCAAAGGGAGATGAGTGTTGGTGTGTCCAGTCTATACGCCATGACAGAAGTGAATAGCTGCAGTAAGGCTTACAGTCATGTTGGGGGGGGGTAAGAGAGAGAGAGAGAGATTTTTCAAGCTTTAATGGATCCAATGATGATATGAAACAGATTAACCCTTGTTTGGTTTATTGGACAAATTGAAAATATCACCTGATGAAACGTTAAGTGCTCACCAAAGCTCAAAATGATCCCAAAATGTTGTGACCATGGAGGCCCCCCGTCATGTCAAACACCCCCTAACAGGTCTGTGTGGGTTACTCATTAGATTTAGAAAAAAGGCAGTGAGAAAAAAAAACCTCACCGCTGGGTGGCAATAAAATCATTAAATGTCTCGAGTCAAATTGATCCGGTTTCCCGGATACATCATGTGTATTCCGAGAAAACATGTTATGTGACTTAAACGTCCGAGGACACGATGTTTAGTGTCCTTTGTGTTGATTTTCTCTCTCCGGGGAACGTTGAACACGATGACACGTTAGACACATTTGTCTTTTACAGTAAGAGATGCAGCATTTAGGTCTGGTACCGTTCCACAGTTCTGTTGCTCCGTCTTCTTCCTGGAACCGACTGTTGTTGCCAAGCAAAATTAGCCAAGATCCTACATACTCCCTGGAAATGCTATTAATTGCCATGGTAACACGGTAGCACGGTGCAGCTTTTTGTGATCTGAAAAGCAAATCTTAGCTGTGTGGGGGGGGGGGACTCATTGTTTTGGTTAAGGCGACGTTGAATGATGAAAACCATTGTTTTAAACTTGATTATTGATTTGATTTTTGTCTGTGGACTCACACGACAGCATGAAAACACAGACAAATGACAAATACAATAGAATGATTGCATGTATAAATGTCACGTGTCCCACCTACAACATGTGCAGCTGCCATCTCTCACTCTTCTCCCTTCTGCCTCTTCTGCCCTCTGCAGTGAAACCTACAGTCGTCGATGTGGGCATATATGTCAACAGCATCGGGCCTGTGTCATCCATCGACATGGTGAGTTAATGCTTCCTCTCTGTCCCCCACACACACACACACACATATTCATCCATTGTCCCGCATTAGCGTCATCGTACGTGAACGGCGCAATCACTCGCACTGTATTTGGAGGTGGTGTGGGCCGCCGCAGCTGTTTCAGTGCTGGAGGAAGCCAGGAAAGACAGGTGTGGACTCTTTGTTCACGTGAATCAGCTCGGATCAAAGCAAACGAGTGAAAAACCCAGACGAGCAGCAGAGACCTTCTCTTAGGCCCAGCACGGGCATACAGAACAAGTGTTTTCTTTAATTGGCCACGCAGATGGTGAGGTGGTGAATTGAAGTCAGATTGTATAATGAAGCCTCTCGAACATTTAATTTCACTTCAAGGGATAGTTTGGGTCTTTTGGAGTTGGGTACTAATCCATAGTCTGTGTCGGGGAGACACCAGTTTTGGCAGAGCAGCAAAGCAATGTACTGCTTTATCCCCCTGAAACAAAGGCAAAATCAAGACTACTTTAAGTGTACGCTGTATATAGATTATTTCCGCCGGTTAACCTTTCCGTGAGACGGCTATACAGTCTCTGTTTCAGACTGTGATTGTTAAAGGGAACATTGCGTACGGACGCCGTTTTCAGCTATTGTGCACATTCAGTATGGATCCTACGCACTTCTTATAAATAGGACCCCTGGACGTGGATCCTTGCATATTTCATGATAGAAGTCCAGATCAGATGCCTTTAAACACGTGAAATGTTGAAACTAAAAGCTTTATGTGCGTTCTATTCACACAACTTGAAGCACAAGCGGTCTGTCGTCTGTCCTTGAGTGAAGTGCGGTCGACTAAATGCAATCGCTGTCAACACTCTCGTGATATATTTCTTCTGCTTGAATATTCTTTCAAAGCATCATTAATGTGTTGCTTTGTAGATACTAACTGAGCTAGACATGATAATGAAAGCGTTTTATCTCTAAACCCACCATACCGCCAGATGTGGAGTTGTGACAGTTGCCTAGCAACATTAAATATTCCCAGATATAAAAGCAATTTAGCCTTTTTTTCACCGGCCTGTGACTTACATTACTCCAGACTTTGTCTGCTGACTAAATTACAACAAAAATGAATGAGTGCATGAAGCAATGTGCTGCACTCAGTGTCATGCTCGTACATTATGTGCAATGTTGTGCGTGTCTTTATTATTGTTTTCCATAAATAAATGAAAATAAAATGATGCTAGTTAGTTGGTGCTAATAAGTAGGAGAGCGAGCATGTTTACCATGTCTTTCATAAAGAGGTTCGGCACAATGCAATTCATTTTAAATGAGTTGTTCCAAATTAGCCCAATTAATGTCTGCCAGATCATTAAGAAACAGCCATTCAGCAGAATACATTCAGGATTCCTTCCAAAGTGCAATTGGGTAAATTCAATTTGGGATGCAAAATGGTGGAGTTGAACGTCCCAGATATTCAGTTGTTTTTGTACTCTGGACTCAGAGGAGCCAACAAGAGATGCACAGTCACTGTGAAGTTTGTAGTCACTGCTTTGTATTTGTGTTTTCCTAACTTATTATTAATCCATTCACATGAGGGAGACAGGGAGAGAGAGATGATCAAACTGTGACCTACACAGGACTTCATCGATGTCCGTCTGTACAAGCAGATGTCCTGTTCTGTTGCTCTTCCTGAGGCTACCTCCATTTCTTCCCCTGTTAAAGGGGTATTTGTGGAGATCTTCTTCATCTGAATCAAGGGTCTAAGGATAGAAGGTGTTGTATGCATGTATGTGATATCACATGCTACACATTGAATCCTGTCTCTCTTCGGCTGTTCTATCCTACAAAAAGGCAACAGCCCAAAAAATAATCTTGAAAAAAGAACATTAAAGTCTGATATCATTGATGAAAATCTATGCTAAATAATCTCCTGTAACTCCTTTGTACATGGGAAAGCAACGTGGATCTAGCGTGGGAATGGCGGACCCCGCCATGGAGAGGTTATTACAGAATACCTTGATCAAGTTCAAGTTTCTTATCTGTATTGCTGAAAAAATGCACACCATCAAAAGAATCGACAACACACCATCTTGCAATGCGATCATTGTAGTTCAATGTATTGGATTACATTGAACAGGTGTTGCTTTTAACCACCTGTGTGTTGTGATTTGCACAATAACAGGATGATGCATAGCTCCAGGTGAAGCCCCTGCAAGATGATTCAGCAAGTAGATAGAAGGCTCTTCATAACACTGAAGTGACATATTTTACCATGAGGACTTTCTTCCCTCACAATCTTGCTTATTACATGGCTGCTTACAAAAGGCATCAATCAATTGACACTACAGATACATTAGCTGCTTTTATTTCAAACCGAAGCCACTGAGAAGTGAAAAGCAGGACTGTCTGCATCAGTAAACAGCTTTGTGGTAGAAGTGAACTGATATGAAGAGAAATCAACAAAATGGACCGGACGCCCATGGCGAAATGTGATGAAAGGGACGTCTGGGCAGACCTCAGATTACCTTTCAATGGCCAATCAGAGTTAAGTGTTCAACAAAGCTGTATAATATTAAGCAAAGTGTCATTCTGCCGCAGCTAGCAGAGGTGCAATGCGAACCAATGACAGGAGATAATCCTCAAAAACAGCTGAAACTCAGCAGCATCGCACAATAAACCAATTTATAATTTGCAAAAAGATAATTGATGATTTGAAGCGCCAAGTTTGCGGAATTCTGAAGCGGAGCAGATGGAGCAGTCAGCGTTACACCAACAGATGGTTGTTGCATCGAAGATCATGTCGCCGCAATCTAAGAGCTCTGTTGGTGTTGCATCAGTTCCACGAACACAAAAGTACGAGTACTTATGGAACGTAACTCTTTGAATTGCATGCATTGTGATAAAAGGCATCCTTAATTTCAAAGACGTCCGTGTTGATCTATTTCAGGATGTCCTTGTTTTTCTATTTATAAATGTAACCAGCTATCATGTTTATTTTAGCATTCATTTCAAGTGAGAAAAGTCTGTTTACGCTCTACTTTTGTACTGCAAATGTCAATCCTTTAAAATCATGTACTCTTTGTCTGTTATGTTAAAATGATGGTGAGCGCAGCTTCTACAAAATAGGACAAAAACACACACATTCACTCACACAATCATGAGTGATAAAGTTGTGTCTTAAAAACTCCGGCCTGTAGTGGGTCAGCGAGGCATGGCCGGGCTCGGCTCGCCCCAAACTTTGTTTCAGTGGAGAGTGGGAGCCCGCTGTGACATTCCAGTGATTTTCCTCTGTGTAAGCGCTGATTGGCTTCACCCTGTCAGGGTCGGTGGACGCCGGTCAGTGGAATGTGAGTCCTCGGCCGCCCCCGGGGGGGGGGGGGGGGGGGATTGACTGGACTGGAATCAGTGTAGTCACAACTCTTTTATCTCGCTGCGTATCATTCCCTTTTATCCATTTCTGTCCAGAAATGTTACAACGTAGGAGAAAAAAAAAAAAAAAGCTACATTTTTTTCTCAAAGCCCCACATTCACACTCGCTTGAGTCCGATCCATCATGTGACCTCCATTTAGCGTGTTCGCTCCCTCTCAACTTCTTGGGTTTGTATCCCAATGGGGGTGTGGGTGTGTATGTGTGAGACTTCCCCATGAAAAAACAGGTCAAATCCCAAGTGTGCATCCATATTGATCACACACATGTACTTACTCCAGCACTACGATGTCGGCTGAACTCCAGGGAGCTTCTCCTCCGCCTTTGAACAAAACACATTATCTTTCCTCATTTGCTCCAACGGTAATGGCCACTGGCTGGGATGATGCAACGCCAAATGAAGCTGATAGTAATTTAAAGCATACTGTGATGAATGGTTGAGTGATTAAACGGCATTAGCGGCTTTAAAGTCAAGCGAAAGGCCTTTTATAGCTGCTGCTGGAAGAGTCAGATAACGCAGCCGGTAAATCAACAGACAAAGATGGACGCACTTTGACACCGACACTACGTTCTTGTCGCCCGTGCTGGAGCCGGCGAGTGGGCGGCATCTTGGATTTATCGCTCCTCTATTGAGGATGCCAGTGTGTATCAACCATTAAGAAATTATTAGGACCACCTGCTTTGTCCATGAAATATACGGATTATGTGACACCAAGTGGACGCCATGATTCCCTATTATGGATGTCAGGATACCAGAAATTAGGAGGTCGATACCAACACCAGGGAAATTCCCTGAATCTCGATGACCATTTTGACGCGTTGATAGACTGTTATACATCAGAATCATCCTTAAAAACTATGAGTAGTTACTAGATATTTAGCCTGTGATTATTTTATTGATTACTTATCTGATTAGTCAATGGATTGTGTCGTCTATAATTGCACTGCAGCCATGACAGGACATGACTTGTGAACTGCTTCCTGTAAACACCAGTGAAGTCTCTTCACGACTCACATCTGACTGAAGTGTCAAAGCAGATCATTTTCACCTAAGTGTCGGGCTGCTATTTGTGGCCGTGTGAAGGTTGTGTCACGGGGAAAACGGCCTCCATCTATTTATAACTGTTTTCACTACCAGGTCTTGATTCGTCGTCGTCTCTCTCTGCTTAGATCCCACGTCTTTGTTTAGTGCCGCGCCCCAGCAGCGAATTAAGGGCGTCATGTTCTAAAGATGTGCCGATCCTCGTCTCTGTTAGTAAAGATGGCTGGCTGTTGACGGCCACAGTTGATGAAGCGCATGGAAAGCTCGTATGCGCGGACACCCATGACAAAAAGCTCATCTTGATGCAGGGAGACAACCAAGCTAATGAAGCGGGACGTGGTGTTATGTGGGGCAATAGGTTAGATTAGGTTGTTTTCAACACACCCTGTAGTATTTACAAGCTAGTATACATAGTGCTTTATAATATATATTATCCAATAATACCACTCGTCCCTGAAGGCTATTTTCGTTTTTTTAAATGATGTATTGTATGAGTGCTTTCTTTAACCATCTACTTAAATTAGAGAAGCTGTTTTCGGCAAAAGTTTCTGTTGAAGC